CCACAACGCCCATCTATTTTTTGGTTGCAGCCATCATTGTTATTTGGCGGCCCGGGCTGGATTTGAACCCGCCACCTTAGGTGTATGTGGCTGGCACCTTAGCCCCTTGAGCCACAGGCGCCGAGCCTCCAAGACTAATTAAAGGAACCACCTACCTCTGATTTCTTTGGTAAACTTGACACGTTGGGAGTCTGTTAGAGGTTTGGTCTGTTCATTGATGTTCTGAATGTCTAAAACCTCACACATGAACTCAATGATAGGCTGAGCCCGGTAGAAAGCAGTTGCAGATACTAACAAACAGAGAAGAAGGATATTTACCTTCAAGGAAAAAGAAGAGCCAGAAACAGAACACAACAAACAATATACACACAGCCATAAGACTCAATGGATAAAGACAGTTCTGTCCTACCATCAATATTGAGCATCATATTCCACATAGCAGGTCTCACAGACTGATGAAAGCCAAACCAAACCTCCCTGCCCCCTCCCAGAGGGTGGTAGTAACCTTCGGGGGGTGAGAAAAAGGAACGGCCCACTGGGGTGTACCTGCAGAAATAAGAATTTGCATGTTTTATAATTAAAAACTTGAAGGGTCTTTCATTTCACTTTCAACTCTGAACTGAAAGCAAACTTGAACTATATAACTAATGCAGAAAACCTTTCAATGGCTCCAAGGCAACTTACAAAAACAGTCTGACATTTGCGAGAAAGAACCCAAACCAAGGTACTAACCTCATAGAGGGAAGGTGTCTCGTAATAACATCAAGTGCTTGCACTGAGTCGTCTGGGACTTCATTCAAGTGCCCAGCCAAAGCTTCTAAAAGCAGCTGAAGGCTTACAACCGACACCCACTGAACAGACACTTTAAAGGTTTGGTCTTTACCCTCACCTGGAAGGGTCACCTCCATATCAACCTAAGGAAAAAAATGCATAAATACAAATATGTATCTTTATAAAGGCTGTGGAGAAGATCCCAAGAATATTCAATATGGTATATTCGTAAGGATATTCATTTTCACTTGTTTTGCAATTGTGCAACATTGGAAACAACTTAAGGGTCTATCAACAAGGGAATAAGTTAATACAGAATATATTGATAGAATATTGTACAACAGTTAAAAAATAAGATAGGTGCCACCACACGGAAAACACGATGCTAAGTGAAATAAGCCAGGCACAAAAGGACAAATGTTGTAGGATTCTACCTGAATGAGGGACCTAGAATAGTCAAATTCATTCATTCTGTTTGAGATGTTCAATTCAGTAGCTTCAGTACACTCACATTGTACAACCATCACCTCCATCCACCTTCAGAACTTTCTCATCATCTCAGTCAGAAACCTGGTACCCATTAAACAGTAACTCCCTACACCCTACAGCCCCCAGTCTCTGGTAACCATGATTCTACTTTCTGTCTCTATGAATTTCACTCCTTATCACAAGACACCTTTACCTATTTGTTATTTATGGATATATGCATATTTATGTATTTTGTGCATATCATTCTCTGATTGGCTTTTTCATTCAATGATATGTCTGGGAGATATTTCCATTTCTGCAAATTTAGATCTACCTTATTGGTTTTTATTCAAATTCAATTATTTTTTATTTTTTTAGAGACAGAGTCTCACTTTCTTGCCCTCAGTAGAATGCTGTGGCATCACAGCTCACAGCAACCTCCAGCTCCTGGGCTTAGGAGATTCTCCTGCCTCAGCCTCCCAAGCAGCTGGGACTATAGGCGCCTGCCACAACGCCCGACTATTTTTTGTTGCAGTTCAGCCGGGGCCGGGTTTGAACCCAACACCCTCAGTATACGGGGCCAGTGCCCTACTCACTGAGCCACAGGTGCAGCCCTCAAATTCAGTTTTTATTATTGTGACAAAATATACACAACATAAAATTTACTATTTTAATCATGTTGAAATGTATAGTTCAAGGGTCAAGTGTGGTGGCTCACACTTATAATCCCAATGCTTTGCAAGGCTGTGATGATAAGATCACTTACGGGCAGAAATTTGAGACCAGTCTCAGCAACACAGCAAGACCCTGTCTCTACAAAAAACTTTTTTCAATTAGCTAGGCACAGTGGCACATGCCTGTAGTCCCAGCCACTCAGGAGGCTGAGGCAAGAGTATTGCTTGAGCCCCCGAGTTGGAGGCTGCAGTGAGCTCAGATTGTGTCACTGCACTCAAGCCTGGGTGGCAGAGCAAGTCCTTGTTTAAAAAAGAAAAAAAACTGTGGGCAGTGCCTGTGGCTCAAAGTAGGCCGCCAGCCCCATATGCCTGAGGCAGTGGGTTCAAACCCAGCCCCAGCCAAAAACTGCAAAAAAAAAAAGAGAAAAAATTGTACAGTTCAATGGCATTAAGTACATTTGCACTGCTGTGCGTTCGTCCCCACTGTCCATCTCCAAAACTTTGTATTTTTCTGAAATGCTATATATAAACCCATGTATAAATAGCTAATGCTAACACACAAAAAGTATTTTATAAGATACATGCCAAACTATTATAGTAGTTTATTTTAAAAAGGAAAATGGAATTGAGGGGTGCAAATAGGTGGGGGAGGTAAGAAACCACAGTATTTCTAGATTTTCTGAATAAGTTAATAATGAGCATATATTCACATATTACTTTTCTAATTTTAAAAATAAATGTTTATATAACCAAATAGCCTAAGAATATGGGAGGAGGGAGGGAGATGGGAGGGGAGAATGGGTGGAGGGAGGGGGTTTGGAGGGATCATTTTTGAGGTTTATCTTACAGGGGTACAAGTGAATCTTTCTAAGAGTAGAATGTGAACATTTTAAAACAATAACTGAGAAAATGACATGAAGGCTGTTTGATGGAAGTATTTTGGATTGCATGTGAAAACCCCACACTGTACCCCAGAAGTGCATTAATGTACACAGTTACTATTCAATAATAAATAAATAAATAAATAAATAAATAAATGTTTAAAAAAGTGTTGTGGTGGCCAGGCGCGGTGGCTCATGTCTATAATCCTAGCACTCTGGGAGGCTGGGAATGAGTAGATTGCTTGAGCTCAGGAGTTCAAGACTAGCCTGAGCAAAAGTGAGACCCCGTTTCTACTAACAATAGAAAAACTGAGGCAAGAGGATTACTTAAGCCCAAGAGTTGGAGGTTGCTGTGAGCTATGACAGCACAGCACTCTACTGAGGGTGACAAAATAAGACTTTGCCTCAAAAAATAATTAAATAAACAAACAAACTTCATTGTTCACATTCAGGTAGTTCTTTGTTAAAGTACATTGTTAACATGAGAAATTTAAAATATATATAAAAATATAATCACATATCTGAAATATATATAAAGATATAATCATATACCCGAAATATATATAAAGACATAATCCACCTAAATGCTAATGCTCATCTTCAATTATCAATTAACTAAAAGACAAGAGAACTATAAAAACAACTCTAAGAATTGAAGTGTTATTAAAAAGGAAACATTTTTAGAATTTTTTATTGATATATCATTGTCATATATGTTCTGGGGGTACATGTGATATTTCAATATCTGCATACAGTGTGTAATCATCAAATCAGGGGAACGGAAATATCCACCACCTCAGACATTTATGTTTTCCTTGTGTCAGGAGTAAAGGGAAACATTTTTATCATATATAATTTCTACCAAGTAACCTAAATATTTTTGCTGTTAACACTTACCCTATCCCGTCCAATTGGCAGTGGGTGTGCTGTGTACATGTTTCTTTTGCCATCATAGCCGGGCTGCCGGTCCCCAAATATCTGCATCTTGAAGTGCCGCACCATCGTGTCTACTACCTCCCTTCACCGTAATGGAGATAAAGGCAGTTAGTTTTCAGAAATGGGGGACAATAAGGAAAGCATCACTATATCTCAATCATTTAAATTGGGTTCCACTGGAAAATGTCAGGGTTAAGGTTACAACTGATTCAAGTAATTAAAAAATGGTTAACTACAGAAAGGTAGCAACAAGCATACAAAAGCAACTAAAAGATGATAATAAAAGGAAAGACTATAATGGCACCATGGATGTATTTGGGGCATCTTCTCATACTACTCTTTCCAAAATCATCTCCTGTAGCTGGGCAAGGTGGCTCATGCCTGTAATCCTAGCACTCTGGGAGGACGAGGTGGGTGGATTGCCTGAGTTCAGGAGTTTGAGACCAGCCTGAGCAAGAGAGAGAGACTCTGTCTCTATGAAAAATAGAAAAACTAATTGGGCATTGTGGGAGATGCCTGTAGTCCCAGCTACTCGGGAGGCTGAGGCAGGAGAATCGCTTGAGCTCAAGAGTTTGAGGCTGCTATAAGCTATATGCCATGGTACTCTACCCAGGATGACAGAGTGAGACTTTGTCCCCCCC